CTGGCATCGCAACCTACCCAGCCGCGACATGGCGCTCGCAGCATTCGCCGCCTGGCTACCGATAGCAGAGAGAGAGTCTGGAACACAACTGAAAAATTTCCAGTCAGACGGAGGTGGCGAGTACACCTCTCAGCGCTTCAAGCAGTTCTTGGCGGAAAAGGGGATCAAGCAACTCCTCTCCCTTCCCTACGCACATCAGCAGCAAGGTGTTGCAGAACGACTGAACAGGACCCTGCAGAACAGCATGCGCAAACTGTTACGTGGCATGCGGCTACCCAACCACCAGTGGCCAGCAGCAATGGACCACGCTGTCATGCTGCACAACTTGTTGTCGTCGTCGTCACTCCCGAACAACGCATCACCGCATCTGCTGTGGACAGGGAAGCAGGGCAGCACGAAAATGTTACGAGTTTTCGGGTGCATGGTACAGTACAGACCCCCAGAAGCACGAGCGGGAAGATTTTCGCAACGGGCACAGTGGGGACTACACCTCGGCATCGAGAAAAATAACAACGCATGGAGAATCTTCGACGTCCACACAAAGGAAACAGTAGCAGCACGTGACGTGATCTTCTACGAAAGACTCACCCTTCAGACGTACCTCGCCAACTTGCACGAGAATCGGGACCTCACCAGTGGTTTTCGTGGTGACCGAGCCTTCGCGTCAGCAGCGGACGAAGCAGACTGGGATGAACAGAACGTCGACAACGCCTCGGAAGAAGCCGGACCTCTCCCATACTGCTCCGTCGACGTGCCCATGGATGAGGATAATCCTCGCGACAGTAACAACGCCGAAATCTTCTACCGTTTCGCCGACGATGGTTACGTAACACCTGTGACAGTCAACACCAACGAAGCAGAAAGGGTAGGGCCAAATTTCATGCCCGACCCAGAAACGGGAGACGAAGCAGCTTATCCCGAGGATCCAGAACTCCCTCGATACTCACAGACTGGGCTGCAAATCCTTGGTCTCGTCACCGCAGTCCATGGCGCCGGCATTCCTAAGGAGCCTGAGACGGTTCAGCAGGCTCTGGGGGGGGGAACACAGGGAGAAATGGCGTGAAGCTATGGACAAAGAGCTGAAGGCACTGGAGGAGCGCAACACCTGGAAAATTGTTCCCATCGGCGTAACTCAAAATAAAAACATTCTTACCGGGAAATGGGTCTTCCGTGTGAAGACGAAAGCTGATGGCACCATCGACAAATTCAAAGCCCGCTGGGTCGTACGTGGTTTCGACCAGGAGCACGGAAGAGATTACACCGAAACCTTCGCTCCGGTCAGTCGCCACACCTCACTCCGAATTCTCATCGCCGTCGCCGCCATGAAGAAAAAGAAATTGCGACAAATCGATGTTGCGAACGCATTTCTCTACGCACCTGTGGATGCAGAAATCTTCGTCGAACTCCCGCACGGCTCCCACGGCGAACCCAACCAAGTGTGTCAACTACTCAAATCACTCTATGGGATCAAGCAGGCACCGCGACTGTGGCAGCAGTACCTACACGCCCGCCTCATCCGCATCGGCTTCAAACAACTCCCGCATGACCAGGGCATGTATCGCCTCACAAAAGGAGGCGATTACGTCCTACTAATCGTCTATGTGGACGATCTCCTCTACATCGGGTCAACCGACGACATCGCCACGTGGTTCGAAGGGGAGCTCCAGAAAGACCTCACGCTCACGGTCTCTTCTACGGTTACGCAATACCTCGGGCTCAACATCCGTGAGGAAGAAAACGCAATCTACCTAAGCGCCGAGAAGTACGCCGACACTATCGCGAAACGCTTTCGTCTCACACCAAGCGCCATCTCCACGCCTTACCGCTACACGTCAGGAACCGAAAAGGGGCAATCTACTCTACTTAAACCCGCCGGCATACGCGACTATCAGAAGAAGCTTGGATGCCTTCTTTTCGCAGCAGTCACATGCCGTCCCGACCTATCCTACTCCGCGAGTCAGCTCGCTACCTATCTCAAGAGACCTGAAGCAGAGCATCTGGCGGAACTCGATCGTGCTCTCCACTACTTCGTCAGCACCGCGACGATCGGATTAACTTATCACAAAAACGTGACTACACCGACCAAGCTAATCGGCTACGTCGACGCCGATCACGGCGGCGACACCGACAACAGGCGCTCACGCACCGGCTATGTCTACCGCCTTGAGCCTATCGGTCCTATCTCCTGGCAGTCGAGCAAGCAGGAGTTAATCGCACTATCTTCAGCAGAAGCAGAATATATTGCACTCTGCTCAGCCACCAAGGAGGGACTTTACCTTCGCGAACTACTGGAAGAAGCGAAGCTAGTCGAGTTACCCAGCTTCACCGTGTTCTGCGACAACCAGTCGGCAATTCGCATCGCCAACAAAAACGGCTTCGCAAACAGGACGAAACACATCGCCCTGCGCTATTTCTTCGTGAAGGACGAGATAGAAAAAGGGAAACTCGATCTGTCATACTGTCCAACATCTGAGATGGCAGCCGACTACTTGACCAAGAAACTCGGAAAGCAGAAGTTCGAATACTGCATGATGCTGACTGGACAAGGCCACGTCACCAGCAGCGACACTCCAGAAGCGAAGGGGAGTGTTGGAAACAATAAGTCCTAAGTGCGCTTCTGTCGTACCAAAACCCAAGGCACCAAGCGAAGCAGTCCCAATCGAAGCATCGAGTCAACCTCGGAGGTTAGGGTAACCGCCTGGAGGTTACGAGAAAGTCAAAGGTCGCTAACCTTTGACTCGACAATTACAGCGCGACAGTTAAGGACACACAACTGACTCGTTACAGAGCAGTTGCCCGAGTCGCACTATATCGAACCGCAACAGCAATACAGTTATCTATCTATCTATTCGTATTCCCTGTACTCTTATATAAATCCTTGTATTTGCTTGTTTAATTCAATCTACTTTGCTCTCACACACCAGTGCAAGGTCGGTTCACAATCCTCATTAAACGCTTCCGCTATTACAAGTTTCTACCCAAGAGTTCTCCTCTGCAAAGATCCTAAGGGCTATTTCTCAGCCCAACACCAACGACATCCACAATGTTCGCCCAACACAACAACGAAGAATTCCACCAGGCGCTAACGAACATGCTGCGGGATGATGCATGGCGGGTCTCCTTTCCCAACATCATGCGGCTGTGGCAGTCAGTGGCCGTGCTGCCATTGAGCACGGTTGAATGCGAGCGTGGCTTCTCGAAGCAGAATTTGATCAAGACTTGGGGACGTGGCAGCCTAGGCGACACAAGCCTGGAGCACCTCATGCGTTGCTCCCTGCTGCGGTACGATGTCGACTGGTTTGAGGTGGTCGCTATCTTTCGAGGAGAGAAGCTGAGGCGATCCACGAGGGAGTTCGACCCCACCAGAGCTTCGCAGACTCAGTTTGTAGAAACTGTAGGCAGTGGTGGTGGCACTGAATAGGTGTGTAGTGCATGTGTGGGTTATGTTGAGTTGTTGGACTGTGGATGTGCTACATTATTATGCGTTCAAAAAACACTAAGCTCTCAAAATGGTAATAAAAACAGGATTAGCTGGAAAGTACCCTGCTCAAATCAGGCTAGTGGTTGAGTTACCCTGCTGCAACTAGGGTACGGAAAATTTTACCCTAGGCCTGGAGAAGGAGCAGGCTCACTATTTTGGGTACAATAAATGCATGGAAATCCTCCCATAAATGATCCACTATACACCGGCAAAGTCATCAACCATAGTTCAACCGGAAAATGTCGTTGAGGACGTAGAAGCTTCCAGCAGGTGTAGGCATCAAGTGAAACATCTGTACAATACAAACACGCCGAGGATTAAGGAACTCCTTCGTATATGAATGTCGGAACGAGCAGACGACCAATGGAGCCTAGATGACACTTAATACAGGATGTGCTTAGACTAGAGTTTCAAACGAATAAATTGCGGGAAACATGCAGATCAGAGGAAAAGACGGTAAATCCCAACCTACCTGGCTAAATTTGAGCGGATGCTCCTGATCTGCCAGTTTCAAGCTCCCACTGACAAACACGACCATTCCGCCTCCGGGACCCGACGGCTGGCAATCGACCGTGCTGACGATGTGTGTGCAGGACTGGAAAGGCAGGCTCGAGATCTTGTTCTGGATGTTTTGCACTCCCTGGAACTTCTCACCCTCGAACGTCAGCATCGACTGATCCTGGTATAGCGTGTACAGGTTAGTGCGAGCCGTGTCGAAGGTGGTGTAATAGTGCTGCACGAACGCCTTGGCCAAGGCATCTGGATCCATGGCGACTGACTGATGCAGCTGAACCGGAGACGCCGCAACGACAGGAAATGAAGAAATCTAGGAACTACGTCAGTCTTGACAAGTCTCCAAGTTCGTGCAGCACAAGGTTCAACTGGAGCAAGAGATGGAGGTGGAGGGGTCACTTGCAAACGACGAAAACCCTGAAGTTTGTACGCTTTAGTAAACACAACCGCTGTAGATTTCTCAGCGTAAAACTGTACCGAGTGATAGTACTGAAGTTGGATAAGTGAAATAAGTTGTGATGGAAGATATATTTCTAGATTTTTCTTTCAGGTTCTCGTTTTTTATCGGTTCGGATGCTGACTTTTTAGCATGGATCACACGGTTTTGTTCGGTGTAGTGCATTCCGAAGCGTTACTTGATGTACTGAGGGCGGGTCCAGCGCGTACGTTTACAGGTACTATACAGTCGGGTTTTAGTCGCACACTCACCCCCGTTGAAAGGGAACATGTTTTTTTACAAATTCACATAGTCGGGTTCAGATCGGTGAGCAGCATTTCAAAACGGTGAATCTCGTAAACCATTTCCAACTGCCCAGCATCAGTACTACTGACTGAACAATCCTCAACACCCAAGCACACAATCCATAGCTAATCCAGCTGACTCGAATGTAATCTGCGACCATCACCGCCAAGCATCTGAGCCAGATCCCGAGTCTACTGTGTCCATTACGTACGCTGCACATTAGCGGTGCAATATCGACAAATTTTGATTTCGTGGAATTCCGACATGGCCGCCGATCACGGCGACAGCAGCAATCTAACAGGACCGGATAAATCTGCCGAACCGTCGGAGGAGAATCACAGTGGCACGGAGTCAGCCGGAGAAATGTGGAGTGAGCAGCAATCGAACGGACAAGGGGAGAGAAATCCTTCAGGCAATGAACCTGCTGGAAACAACAGCGAAGCTTTGGCTTCTAAAGCAGGAACGAAGCCTGAGGAATCAGCAAAGGAGACTGCAGACAAAGAGAAGGCAGAGGGGGGAGAGAAGGAAGGGAGAGGCGAAAAAGAAGGGGGAGGAGGGGAAGAAGAGGCGGATCACCCACACCCCGACAAGGAGGCGGAGGAGGAAGAGGAAGATGAGACCGACCCAAAGAATCCGCGAGGTCGCCTACTGATGGCGAAGCATGCAAAGTACATAAAAAACCTGGACAAAGTACGTTATTCAGTGAATCTGGACAAGTTGCGTGATTCAGGGAATTAGGACAAAGTACATGCTCTAGGGACCAGTTGACGGTACGTGTTTTAAAGCCAGGGTCTCGAGTGCTCTGGAAATCATTTTGCTCCTCTGACTGACCTCAATTGATTCTTCCACTTACAGACTCGAACTGTTATGAGTGCAAGTGTGCCGCAGCAGCAAACATGTTTCTTCGTCAGTTCGTGTTTTCGTTTTCTATGTATATTTCCATCTTGTTACTGTAGAAAACAGAGGGAATCGAGTACGTGGCGACGGAGCATCTGAGGATGAGCGGAGCCTACTGGGGGTTGACAGCGATGGACCTCATGGGGAGGCTGAAGGACATGCACAGCCCTGCCATGCTGCCGTGGCTGCTCTCCTGCCAGCAACCCAATGGTGTGTGTGGGGGGGGGGGGGGGATGAGCGGGGAGCCTCTGGGGAGGCTTCCAGAAATGCACAGCCCTGCCATGCTGCCGTGGCTGCTCTCCTGTCAGCAACCAGACGGTGCGTGCTGCCTTCGTGTGTGTGTAGTGCGTGTGTGTGGGGGAGGGGGGCAGGAAAAGGGGGATGAGCGGAGCCTACTGGGGGTTGACAGCGATGGACCTTATGGGGAGGCTGAAGGACATGCACAGCCCTACCATGCTGCCCTGGCTGCTCTCCTGCCAGCAACCAGACGGTGTGTGTGTGTGTGTCTCTCTCTCTCTCTGTGTTTGAGTGCATTCCTGTGAGGGTGTGCATGTATGCGTATGGGTGGTGTGAACATGCACAGTCCCGCCGTCTGGGGCCATCTGACTTTTGAGTCGACTCAAAAGTCATTCCTGTGAGGGTGTGCATGTATGCGTATGCGTGGTGTGAACATGCACAGTCCTGCCATCTGGGACCATCTGTCCAGATCCTTATTTTGTCCTTGTCTCCTCATTCTTTTTTTTCTCAGGTGGTTTCGGTGGCAGCAAAGGGCATGATTCTCACCTGCTCTACACGCTCAGTGCCGTCCAGATCTTCATTCCATTCGCCTTGTCCTCCTCGTTCTACCTCTGGTGTCTACTCCTTTCCCATCAGGTGGTTTCGGTGGCAGCCAAGGGCATGATTCTCACCTGCTCTACACGCTCAGTGCCGTCCAGATCCTCGCACTACTGGACAAACTGGATGCTGTAGACGCCGACCGTGTCGCCACCTGTCAGTCTCCCATTCGTCAATCCATGCCTGCTTCACTGTGCTGTCTCGGTTTCTGTTTTCCGAGTTTGTTTCGAATCTGAAGCCTTCTCGGATTCAGCTCGTCTCCTTGGCATATGTAGCAGGGCTACAGCAGCCGGATGGGTCATTCATTGACTTGACTTGTCGTCTCTGAAGCCTTCTCGGATTTGGCTCGTACTTGACTTGACTTGTCGTCTCCTTGGCAGATGTAGCAGGGCTACAGCAGCTGGATGGGTCATTCATTGGAGATGAATGGGGGGAGGTAGACACTCGGTGAGTGGCGAACGCAGTGGGTGGGGGGCACAATCGGTGAGGAGCGCAATGGTTGGGGAGCACATTGGATGGCAAGCAGTGCATAACAAACAGGCACGCATATGTGGCAGGGCTACAGCAGGCAGATGGGTCGTTCATCGGAGATGAATGGGGGCAGGTGGACACACGGTGAGTGGGTAGGCGGCAAAAACAGTGGGCGCCCGCTCTCCCCCCCCGCCCACTTCCCCCCTCCTCCCTCCCCCCATCCCCCTCCCCTCTTTCCACTTTCTCCACTTTTGCCAAGCTTTTTCTCACTGTGCTGCCTCTTCCTTGAGCTCCTCAAACACTCACATCGCATCCCATCAACCAAACCAATCCACTTCCCTGTGGCTGTCTGATTCAACTTTTGAGGCGCCTCAAAAGTTTTCTCACTGTGCTGCCTCTTCCTTGAGCTCCTCAAACACTCACATCGCATCCCATCAACCAAACCAATCCACTTCCCTGTGGCTGTCTGATTCATCGTTCCTCATGGCTGACTGCTCTGCGACGTCTCAAAACACTGCTTCATACACGTCACTCACATCGCATCCCATCAACCAACCCAATCCACTTCCCTGTGGAAGCTGACGGATGGAAAACACACTCTGACTTTTCCCTGTGGCTGTCTGATTCATCGCTCCTCAAGGCTGAATGCTCTGCTCTGCACCCCCCTCTCTCCTCCAGCCTCTTTTCCTCGATCACACACGCGCACCTTCAACCAACTGATCTTCCCTCTGCCCGACTGATTCATTCCCCCCTGCACCCGTCCCATCATTCTTTCAAATGCCTTCGCCTCACCCGTCGACACCAATCCACACCCCACCATATCGCTCCACATCCCTCCATACCCCTCCACTCCCCCCAATACTACCCCATGTTTTCCCCAGCTTCTCCTAGTGCCCCATCTCCTGCCTCTCCCTCCTCGATCACATGCACACCTTTGACCTCCCAGAAACCTCGATTCACTTTCCCCGAGTTCTTGCGTTTAACCCCACTCCTCTCCCCTCCCCCCTTTCCATTTCTCCCCCTTCCCCACCCCGGCTTCTCCTACCGTGCCGTCCGATTCACTGTCCCCTGCTTTCCTGCATTCTCTCTGTTCCACCCCCACCCTTCCCCACTCTTTTCCACACCGCCCCACACCCATCCTCACCCATCCATACTCCCCCTCTCCCGCACTCTCGTTACGCACCTGTCCACACCCCCCCACACCACTCCATACTTCCCCCCAGATTCTCCTACTGCGCCATCTCCTGCCTCTCCCGCTTGGTTGCATGCACACCATCGACCTCCCTGCAGCCATCCATCCACTCCTCAACCACTCTCCCCACACTCCCTTCTCCCCAACACCCCTGCTTCCCCCTCTCACAGCTTCTCCTACTGCGCCATCTCCTGCCTCTCCCTCCTCGATCGCATGCACGCCATCGACCTCCCCGCAGCCGTCCAATTCATCGCCAGCTGTCAGAACTTTGACGGCGGATTTGGGTCTGTTCCGGGCGGCGAGTCACACGCTGGGCAAAGTGAGTGAGAAATTATGATTTCTTTCTTTCTTTCTTTCTTTCTTTTTTTCCAAGAGCCTTCCTGCTCAGTCTAACCGCGCCTACCAAACCAGGCCTCTATCCATCCAACCCCGCCTACCTAACCAGTCCTCTATCCATCCAACCCCGCCTACCAAACCAGTCCTCTATCCATCCAACCCTCTCCCTCACTCACTCCTCCGTCTTCCCCACCTCCCAAAAGTCGTCTTCTGCTGTGTGGCAGCACTTGCAATAGCTGGAGCATTGCTCATCCTTCCCACTCCTTCCATCCAACCCCACCCAACAAGCCTGCCTTCTTTCTCTTTCTCTTTCGCTCTCCCCCAACTCCTTCCAACCCTCCACCGAATCCGTACAAGCTAGTCTTCTGCTGTGTGGCAGCACTGGCAATATTTGAGTCGACTCAAGAATCGACTTATCACAGGCTGGAGCATTACTCATCCTTCCTACTCCTTCACACTCCTTCCCACTCCTTCCAACCCCACCCACAACCCATGCAAACCAGTCTTCTGCTGTGTGGCGGCTCTGGCAATAGCTGGCGTGCTCTCATTGGTCGACCGCGATCTCCTGGGCTGGTGGCTGTGTGAGCGGCAGGTGCCAGCAGGAGGGCTCAACGGGCGACCAGAGAAGCTGCCAGATGTGAGTACCCACCTGTTCTCTTCCTACCATACCACCCACATGAGAGTAGGTCCGTCTCCCTGGCAGAGCACCGACCGTCTTTTGAGTCGACTCAAAGCCCGTCTCCCTGGCACGGCACCAACCTTGTGATAGAAGTAGTTTTTTGAGACGTCTCAAAACGCTGCCTCCCTGGCAGAGCACCGACCGTCTTTTGAGTCGACTCAAAACCCGTCTCCCTGGCACGGCACCGGCCTTCGGATGGTTTTTGAGGCGCCTCAAAAAGTGTCTACCATACCACCTACACGAGAGTAGGTCTGTCTCCCCCCCCTGCATGGCACGGACCTTCGGATGCCCCCCTGGTTTGGTGGCTGTGCGAGCGACAGGTAACCAGCAGGAGGGCTCAATGGACGGCCTGAGAAGCTGCCAGACGTGAGTAGCTACCTACCATGCCACCTACACGAGAGTAGGTCTGTCTCCCCCCCTGGCACCGACCGTCGGATGCCCTCCTGGTTTGGTGGCTGTACGAGCGACAGGTAACCAGCAGGGGGGCTCAACGGCCTACCTGAGAAAACGCCAGATGTGAGTATTATCCGAGTCGTTTTTGTTTTCGATTCGACAAAAAAACGAAAAGTCTTTCCTGCTGCTGGTTGTCTTTGACAGTGCAGAGCCTGCTGATGAGTCGACTCAAAAGAAGACTAGAAAACGAGTCTTTTCTCTGTTGCTGGTTGTCTTTGACTGGACTTCCATAATCCATTCATGTCTTTAATGGAGCAGGGGGGACGCGCATCCTTCCTCCATTCTGCCTATTCTATGCCTTGATTTGCCACCTCACTGCGTCTCAGGCAGGTGTGTTATTCCTGGTGGGTCCTCTCCAGCCTTGTGCTCATTGACAGGGTGCATTGGATCAGTACGCTCCCTCTCACTCCCTCTAATTCCCTCTCACTCCCTCTCACTCCCTTCCCATGCTTTGTTTTGCTTGTCAGGTATGCTACTCCTGGTGGGTTCTGTCCAGCCTTGTACTCATCGACAGGGTGCATTGGATCAGTGCGGAGAAGCTACAGCACTTCATTTTGCAGTGCCAGGTGATTGCAACACTGTCAGGTGATTTCAACACTGTCAGGTGATTGCAACAGGGTCAGAAGGCTGTAAACCTTAAGGGGATTGCGACAGTAGCATCTGCTAGTTAGACTGAGGGGATTGCGTTGGCTCTCAGGTGGTTACAACAATGAGGCAAGTGGTTGCAACCTGACGCTCTGAATGTCACTACGCAAATCAAGGGCTGCCAGGTGGTTGCAGTAGCTGCTACAGTGTCAGGTGGTTTCAACAGAGGCTTTCTGAAACCCCCATAAGGAGAGGGGCAACACCACCTCTTGATTCGCCTCAAGTCTCGCCTGTCCCCTCCTCCCCACCCACCCACCCACCCACCCACCCATCCGCCCACCCGTTCAACCATCCATGCACTCAGGACGAGGAGAGAGGAGGAATTTCCGACCGACCAAACGACATGGTTGATGTTTTTCATACCTTCTTCGGTATTGCTGGTGAGTAGGTGTCAGAGCATCTAGTGCATGACGCATGTGGATCATGGATGCATGACACATGTGGAGCATCTAGTGCATGACACATGTGGATCATGGATGCATGTCACATGTGGATCATGGATGCATAGCAATACCATCTCAGACCGACAGGACGACATGGTGGATGTGTTCCATACTTTTTTCGGCATCGCTGGTGAGTGGGTGTCAGCAGCATATAGTGCATGCAGCTTGTAGCATGCATGGATGCACAACCAAACGACATGGTGGATGGATGTGTTCCACACATGTGTTTGGCATCGCTGGTGAGGTGGGGTGGAGCATATGATGCATGGGGTTGAAAACACCTGAGACCGACCAGACGACATGGTGGATGTGTCCCACACATGTGTTCGAGTAGGCAGTGATATTGGTGCGACTTGTGAGAATTCTCAAAAGTCGCACCAGACGACATGGTGGATGTGTCCCACACATGTGTTTGAGTGGGCAGTGGTGCACTCGAAGCAAACATGTGGGGTGTGGATCACATCGTGTGACCATTACCCATCTCCCACTGACCAGATTGCATGGTGAATGTGTTCTGTACCTTCGTTGGGATCGCTGGTGAGTGGGTGTCAGAGCATATAGAGCACATCACTGAAGCTAGCGAACCTCATTTCAGGCCTGAGTCTGTTGGAGTACCCCTATCTCAAGCCAGTGGACCCAGCTTACGTGCTTCCTATAAGTGTTATATCACCTTTCTGCTCCCTTTCCCCCATCTCCCTACCCCTCTCCTCCCTTTTCCCGTCCTCCCCACTCCCTCCTTTTCCCCTCCCCCCTCTTGATGTCAGGCCTGAGTCTGTTGGAGTACCCTAATCTCAAGCCAGTGGACCCAGCTTACGCACTTCCTGTGGATGTTGTGGATAGGGTTTTCAGAGACAGGGAGCTGAAGCACCTGCAAGCCTAGTGCCAAATTAGTTTTCTAAGAATGCGTAAGATGACATGTGCACTCAAGGAACTATATCACACATCGAATTTGGTTCCCATAAATTTTGCGGGCATGGAATCAAAAGCGAGTGAGCCGCTTGTACATGAGTCTTCAAGACCATCTCTACCAAATTATTGACAAGGAAAATAGGCTATCGTGTGTGTATGGAACCATATGCACTTTAGTTGTTTGTGATCTCCAGTAGTATTACTAGGCTGTCTTGTACTGAGCCCTGAATGAGCGGGCAATCCAAGGAAGATTTTGGAGATTCGGAGACTGTCGTGGCAGACGAAGCATCCGTCGTCATTTCTGGTTACAAGGAACCCATCGTTCCCAGCGTGGATCTTACACGCAACCAGAGATACCCACGTCACCTGATTTAGCCATTCCAGGTCAGCTTTCTAAAGCCTCACGACATGTCAGCACCAGCACCTCGAACAATACTGTACCGAGCGCCCCAGGAAGCCTCGAACACCATTTCCTCCACAGCAATTCCCCCCGTCAATGCCCCCAAAGTCCCGCTTCTGCTCCGAGCAGCCAATCCCTAGCAGCCCATCTCCGCCTAGCCATCCCTACCAGCACCAGTAGTTCATCTCTACTGGTTCGATGGCTGCCGAGCCGAACAACTCCCCCTGCCGAGCCGAACAACGCCCTCTGTCGAGCCGAACAAAACACCCTCTGCCAAGCCGAATAATGCCCTGATGCTTTCCCCGACCTGAGTTTCATCCTCCTCGGGAGTTCCGCCCCCTCCCCGCCAACTCCCGCGTTTCCATTTTGTCCATTTCTTTCATTGTTGATGCAAAATTTCAGCAGCAATTTCCAAAGCTTGCATTTTTCCCGCCTGTCCCGCTCTCCCATCTTCTTTCCAAGTAGCTTCAGTAGTGTCTGCTTACCGAGCCAGATTCTCACTCAATGGCTGCCGTGTCGCTCTCCTCCTCCCTCAGCAGCCTCGCTGGCGCGAAGCTCGCTGTCGCGCAGTCCACGTCAGCGAAGACCTCCAAGGTCCAAGCAGTGCGTTGCGTCGCCGGTCCTTCCGCTTCTTCCGCCGGGAAGCGCGCAGAGGAGAAGAGCATCTGGGAGAAGCTAGGAACCGGCGCAGCGGCGTTCGGACTAGCCGCCGCGCTTCAACTGACTCCGTCAGCCGTTGACGGAGCTAAGGCCGACGAGTTCGCAATCCTGCGGTCGCCACCGCCGCTCGAGTCGCACTATTACGACGACGCGAATGTCCTCAGCCGGATCACGCGGTCGGACATTAAGAAGCTGCTGACGGATTTGGAGGAGCGGACTGGTTTCCATATTGACGCTGTGACCCTGAGGAAGATTGCTGTAAGTTGACTAATATCCGCGTTAACAAGTCTTCAGGAAAGTTGTATTAAGCTAGAACGAGTCCGTGCAGAGTCAGGAAGAAGCATTGCTCGTTGCGATAAAGCTGCCGCTGAAGCGAGATGCTTGTTGAGTCTACTCGATAGTCAACTCGCAGAGCCGGTTCCAGGCATTGCCTGAATCTGCTCCATCACCAGAAGCGGTTTGAGTCGGTGCCAAACGCATCCGTTTCATACACTGCCTTAATGAGCGCCAATGCCAGAATGAAGCTGGATTACGCTATTTATTACCTGTTTCTTTTCTTAGAACGATATTTTATTCCTCCTCCCCATTCAGGGATACCAGATGATGACCACTCAAGGGATACTGTTGATTCCTCCCATTCATTGGTGGCTTCTCTCCTCCAGCTCTCCCCTCGTCCCCCCTCTCCACTCCCAAAGAGCGAAGACAGTCTTCCCCAGGAGGAGGACAGACGACAGTCGATCCGGATTTCAACGATCAATTCATAACCAATTTTCAGGCGTCCGAATCAATTCAGTCCTTTTTGTTACGAGCATGCTGTCACCCTCCCCGCGCACTCAGGATAACCGTGGACGATAATCACTCCAGATAAGAGCCTCGAGTCGCGTGGCACCCCACGGTGGAGCGGGGTGACGAGCAGCCACCTACCCATGCATCCCTCCCTGACAATTTCCCTCATTTCTCCTCCGCACATCCCCCTCCCCCACCCCCGAAGGGAAAGGGCGACGTTTTCGAACTCGCGGACAGGATCCTCGAGTCGTGGTACCCCACAGTGGAGGAGGGCGACAAGCGGCCCTTAGCGCCCATTCTCCCCTGCCAGTCTTCTTCATTCCTTGCTCCCTCGTCTCCGTGATACCCAAACATTTCAGGGCAAGGGCGACGTGTTCGAGCTCGCGGACAGGATTCTCGAGTCGTGGTACCCGACCGTGGAGGAGGGCGACAAGCGCGGAGTCGTGCTCCTCGTCACCTCGCAGAAGGAGGGAGCCGTCGCCGGCGGTCCCACGTTCATTGAGACCATTGGGGATGAGGTGTTCGAGGGCATCGTCTCTGAGAACCTTCCAGGTGAGCCTTCCTCGCTTGCAGTCTGTCAGTCCGTCGTTCAGGCGGTCCCACGTTTATTGATACGATTGGGGATGAGGTGTTTGTTCGAGGGCATCGTGTCTGAGAGCCTTCCAGGTGAGCCTGCCTTCATCGCCTCACAGTTGAGAACGGCTGAAACGTACCTGCGCCCCTTGGTGTCGCCTCTCACAATTTGAGTCAAAATAGGCTCATCACCTATCACCTGCGCCCGTTGGTGTTGCTCTCACTCAAACAAGACTCCCTCCCTCCCTCCCTCCCTCCCATCCTCACCACTTCCTCCCCTCTTCTTACTCACTTGCTCCTCCCATCCCGCACCCCACCTTTCTCCCGCCCCCAGTCGTGGCCACTGAGCAGCCTTGTACTCCTCAGCAGCTCGTATGCAGTCGACTCATAAGTTACTTCGTTCTCCCGCCACCAGTCGCGGCCACTGAGCAGCCTTGTACTCCTCAGCAGCTCTTATGAACAAATAAGTATCTCAAGAATCTCCTTCCCGTCCCCCCCCTGTGCTTGTCCCTCACCCCCCTATGCTTGTCCCTCACCCCCCTATGCTTGTCCCTCACCCCCCTATGCTTGTCCCTCACCCCCCTAAGCTTGTCCCTCCGCACCTCTGTTCTGGCGACTGAGGAGCGTTACAACGAGGCTATGTACTCAACAACCAAGCGCCTCACATGCATCAACTCCCACCCCCCTATCCCCGCCCCCTCCCCGTTCACCTTCCTCTCTCTCGCAGTTTTGGCCACTGAGGAGCGTTACAATGAGGCCACGTACTCGACAGCAGCCCGTATTTTCAACGAGCCGGCTCAAGAATCTCACCCCCTTCCCCCATCTCCTTCCCCCACCATACCCTATCTCCTCACCTCAGTCCTGGCCACTGAGGAGCGCTACAACGAGGCCATGTACTCGACAACCAAGCGCCTTGTAGCGCGGATCAACGGAGAGCCGGATATCCCGGGTCCCAAGTTCAATGACGCAAAGCGGGAATCCAACTACAAGACGCGCGAAGAGACCGATTCGAAGCGCGACCAATTTACGACGGTTGTGGGCGGGCTTTTGGTCATCGCATTTGTGGTTCCGATGCTTCAGTATTATGCATACGTCAAGAAGTAGAGAGATATACAGGGGGGTGTTGCGGAACGGAGTGTGATTTCTTATTTTTGTTTGTGTTTGAGTTGTAAGTACAGTTGGCAAAATGTTGGGATTCAACAAGTTGGAAGAACTCACCTGAAGTGTGCTGCAGCTCCTGCCCTCTTGCCTCTCCCATTCGTAATTCCATCTTCCTCTTGGTCCAACATCCCCTCACTCCTTTGCTTTCTCTCCATCGCTCCCCTACCTCCCTCTTCCTTCTCCCTCCCTCCTCTCCCCTCTCCCCCTTCTCCCTTTGACTCCCTCTCAGGCTCTCACCCTTTTATTTCTCCCTCTATCCCTAACTCTTTGCTTATCCAGTCTTGGCCTCATTGCCACCAAAACTATGGTACGGTAGTTGAAGATGGAAATTGCTGGGTGGTTGGGATGGAAGATTTCAACTGTGGAAGAGTGCGTCAAATGAAGTGTTGTAGCAATTTCCCTGACAAACTAATCTCATCAGTATCACAGAAAGAGACCATACAATTTGCAGGCGTGTGACTTGGTAATTGTTTTTCCCACATCTACGGAATTCTCTTTTCGTTTTACACACTAGCAAATGTCTCCATCGCTCCTAACGGTCAAATTTCAATATCATGTCAGCGAACCAAAATTATTCCCGCCATTCCGCCGACGTCGCGTTGGGAAGCAAAGGATGGTGCGCGGTTCGGTGTGGGAGCGCCGTGGTGACGGATTGAACATGCTGACGACTGTGGGGGTGACAGATGGACGGTCACCACTCGCCTCTGACATAACCGACTGCTTTGGTCAAGCGCTGATGGAAGCTCCAGTCAAGCAATCCCGTAGTGCGGTTCAGTAGATTTCCACACGGTAAACAGCGTTGTTTTTTCCATACCTCTTCGCACCGTACCGCACCAAACGAAACCGTGACTAGGCATTATTGTCACACCAAGCTAAGAATAATGCTCGTTGTTCTGTTGCTACTCCAAGAGTCCAGAACTAGATAAATGACCATGTTCATTCCCCGCCGCCCAAGAATTTTATTTCAGCAACGCTCTCTGGTGCTAGTCCTGAGACAAAGCTCATAAACACAGCAAAGGCGCCTTTTTTAGAGAATTGTCAGTCTGTTTCTCGAGTTTAGTATGCTCAATTTCGCGAAAGAGTGACGACAAGCGGAACTAGGAAGGCATTTACAGTTCAGGACAGCCATAGAGCGGAACGCATTGTCGGTCGGTGTTAAATCTTGGAAGGTAGTGTGTGCAAGCACTAACACGATAGGCATGTTATGTTTCTGTACGTTTGGAGCTTGAGCTATGCAGTAATAGAACCTGCACTTGTCTGCCATTCCTGAACCTCTCCCAAGAGCTCTTGCCGTTGAGATTACACTGGAAACGCTTAACAATAATTTGCCGTTCCAAGCCGTTCGATTTGGATACAAGGTTCTCGTGGAAAAAACCGCGAATAGTTCTTGACAGGCACGCGGCGACACACTGCGATTTGTTGTCGCGACGATTCTGAGTGTCGCAAACCATGTCGCCCGTTCGCCACAAGCGGTTGCTCTCTAACTCTCTCAACGTCGCACGCTTCGTCGCACCAGCGATAGCCGTCGTACTGCTTGCGACTGTACAGGGATTTGTTCGAGCCGCCCCCGGAACTGCAGGTATTGCTTACTACACGCAGGCATTTCTTCACTCACTTTGTTTCAACCACTATCATACACCTGACATCAGTTCCCTTGCCTCTTCCGTACAGTGCCTTGTGTTGACTCTCCTCTCTCGTCACCGTCTGTTTCCTTGCACTACCCTCGCCTCTTCCCCGCGCGTTCCCTTTCCTGATCAGGAGGATGCACGAATTACAGCCAGGGAAGGTGGGTACGCGATAACAGCCGACCTGCTTACGATGCCAGCACCTGCAAGTACATGGTGTGTAACTGGGCTCAAATCGAAGAAGCTGGTAGCGCGAACATACATGCACGCGGGGTCACTGCGGGTAGGGTGAACCGCTTCGTGCGCAAGACTGCTCGTCGCAGGAAATTGTCTGCAGCAGCGTGCACGTGCGTGTAGTAGTCGTGGATTAAGAATCCTCAAAACTGGCCTGTAACAATAAATTAATTGCATTTATTACGCATTTGCGGCATGTAAGCCCGCAAATTGCATCCGGCAGAGATGACCTCTAACCTTGAGATGTAATGCACATGGAATAAAGGGGTTTCCTCATGCCTTGCGAACCGTCTTCCTCCTCTCCTGCTGTGCCGTTTCATCTCCCTTGTTCCCCTTAACCCCTTCTCCCTCCCACCCCGTGCCATCCCCTTCCCCTTGCGCTCCCCCTATAGGGAGTGAGCAACTGCATGAAGCAAAGCGGGCGATCAAAAGACTGGCTGGTGAGTGCCTGGGCGTTGAATTTTACTGCCTTGACTCGTAGAACGTGAGTAGTGAGCGCGGGAGAGAGTAAGAAGTGAGCGCTCTATTGTAGGATTGTACTCCCTTCAGGGTGTAAGACAAAGCGGGGGATCGAAGGACTGGCTGGTGGGTGCCTTGGCGTTGAATTTGACTGCCTTGACTCGTAGAGCGTGATATTGAGCGCGGGGAGAGTGAGTAGTGAGCGCGGGGAGAGTGAGTAGTGAGCGCGGGGAGAGTGAGTAGTGAGCGCGGGGAGAGTGAGTAGTGAGCGCGGGGAGAGTGAGTAGTGAGCGCGGGGAGAGTGAGTAGTGAGCGCGGGGAGAGTGAGTAGTGAGCGCGGGGAGAGTGAGTAGTGAGCGCGGGGAGAGTGAGTAGTGAGCGCGGTAGAGAGTGAGTAGTGGGTGCGGCAGAAAGTGAATAGTGAGTGCCGGAGAGAATGAGTAGTAAACGGAGAGAATCAATAGTGAGTGCCGGAGAGAATGAGTAGTGAACGGAGAGAATCAATAGTGAGTGCCGGAGAGAATCAATAGTGAGTGCCGGAGAGAATGAGTAGTAAACGGAGAAAATTATTATTTGAGTGCCGGAGAGAGTGAGTATTGCGTGGGGGGCTCCAACATCGGCCCTGGAAGCTGAATGAGTGCAATGCTCGGCTTGCCCATCCTTCCCATACCTCGCCCCATCCCCCCATTTTATGTTCCTCGTCGTCGTCCTCCCATCCCCCCATTTCATCCTCTGTCCGTGCAGTATTGGTCCTGGAATCCCAATGGGTGCCCTGCGAATGGCATGCGCATACTTACTATACCTCGCCCCATCCCCCATCTTCATGTTCCTCTATTCCTCACTACGTCGTCATCCCCCCATCCCCCCCCCCCCCCCCCCCCCCCCCAGATTTTATCCACTGCCCCGTGCAGTGTTGGTCCTGGAAACCCAATGGGTGCCCTGCACGCCATGCCAGTCCTTTCCATACCTCGCCCCGCCCCCCCACTTCATGTTCCTCTCTGTTCTCCCCATCTCGTCGTCCTCCCATCCCCCTAATTCATCCACTGTCCCGTGCAGTATTGGTCCTGGAAGCCCAATGGGTGCCCCCGGACATGGCATGCTTGCCCTTACTTTCTCAGCCCATCCAATTTCCTCCATTTAACGTCCCTCTGTTCTCACCCCCCGTGCAGTATTGGTCCTGGAAGCCCAATGGGTGCCCTGCACACGGCATGCTCGTCCTTACTAAACCTCGCCAGTCCCGTTTCAATTCTTGTTCTATTTTCCCCACTGTTCGGTGTCCCTCTATTCCCACCCCCCGTGCAGTATTGGTCCTGGAAGCCCAACAGGTGCCCTGCATGCGTCATTCTCGTCCTTCCTATACCTCACCCCATCCCGTTGCCCCCAATTTAGCATTCCTCCATTCCGTGTTCCTCCATTCCGTGTTCCCCCGTTCCTCCCCCCGTGCAGTATTGGTCCTGGAAGCCCAACGGGTGCCCTGCGAGTGGCATGCGCTTTGATGCACCAGGTTTCCTCAAACTCATGAAGAACAAGTGAGTTGCGAGGGGTTCAAGCAGAGATGCGCACGTACGTGCATGCATGTGTACACACTCCCACAGGGAAGAGTTCATCTCGTTGTGATTGTAAGTGTAGACAAGTCCACCTCGGCTAAATGCTTCCGTCCTACCTTTTGCACTCCGTCCGTCCGTCCGTCCGTCCGTCCGTCCCTCCCTCCCTCCCTCCCTTCTTCCCTCCCTCATTCCCTCCCTTCCTCCCTCCCTCCCTCACTCCCTCCCTCACTCCCTCCCTTCCTCTTTCACTCACTCACTCACTCACTCCCCCCCTCCCTTCCTCCCTCACTCCTTCTCCCCCTCCCTACGTACTTCCCTACCTCCCTCCCTCCGTGTGTTCAACAGGGTGTTTGCGAGTGTGGGCGAGTCCATCTCCGTTAGAGGCTTCCTCCTTGCAGTCGTCTGCAATGTAAGAACGCGTTTCTATTTATCTTCTCCGCCTGTGGGTGTAGACACTGCATGTACAAACCAGAGATTGAGGAGAAAATGCATTTGCAAGACCAAACGAATTTTGGTGGGATACTGAGGTGTACCATATGCTTAGTCACAACGTGACACCTGCCATTGAGATGTCTCTAACGAGGATCCTAATCTTCTGATACTGAGGTGTACCATATGCTTAGTCACGACGTGACACCTGCCAATTGGTAACAAATTTGTTACCAACAGGTGTCACGTTGAGACGTCTTTAAACAGAATTGTTATCGCGTGGTCTTATCTTCTGATACCGAGGTGTACCATAAGTCCAGTCACAAATGTGACACCTGCCAACTTCCCCACTCCCCAAATCCCACTTTCGCACAGTCGCACAGGCTACCGAGTTTACGAGGGTAGATCTGCCAGAGAGACCCAACAAGCTCAATTATATGTTAACTCGAGATTTGCCTGCTCTGCGCCTCCCTTCCCCTCCCTTTCCTCTTCCACCCGCCTATGCTTCCTCAGATCGCCAACCCAAGTTTACAGAAGTGAAGCTGCTAGCTAAACCCAACAAAGTTCAATGTTGACTCGATTCAATCATCCACCGCCCCTCCTTTCACTGCCTCTCTTCCTCAGATCGCCAAGTTTACACAAGTGAAGATGCTAGCTAAACCCAACAAGTTTGGAGATACCGAGGTTTACGTCGTGCCCAGTTACAACGTGACACTTGTCAACTTCTGGGCGCAGTTCCTAGTCGCGATTGACCGGAGCAACCAGGTGAGGAAGGGGGGTGGTGGTGGGGGAGAATGTAGTTGAATTTTGAGGGGAGGAGGAGGGGGGAAAATAGACTTTTGAGTCGAGTCACAGCGTGACACTTGTCTACTTCTGGGCGCAGTTCCTAGTCGCGATTGACAGGAGCAACCAGGTGGGCGGGGCGGGGGGGGGGAGTGAAGGTACTAGACTTTTGAGTCGAGTCACAACGTGACACTTGTCAACTACTGGGCGCAGTTCCGGTCGCCATTGACCGGAGCAACCAGGTGAGGGGGTGGAGGGGGTGGAATGGGGAGTGGGGACAAGATAAAAAAGTGATTCTTGCAAAGTCGGGTGGGGGTGGGGGGGGGGGGGGGGGGGGGGGGGTGGGGTGGGGAATAGATAAAAGGGTGGTCTCTTGTAAAGCCTGTGCATTTTCCTTCGGCTTTCAATCCGCTGAATGTGCATTATCGTTCTTGCTCGTCTCTGCATTTCCCGTTCTGTCTCTTCACCCCTGTGTTCTTGTTTTTTCCATCCCTCTCTCCCCTACCTCCCAAAATTCCACTCTTAAACCTACTTTCAAACAATAACCAATTTAGGTCCGGCAAAACCAAGCCTTGGCATGTTCCCGCCCATTCCTGTCCCCCGAACCAGACTCTCGCCAGGTTCGGCAACACCAAGCCTGCGCTACAGGACACCGTGGTGAACCTCCACAAGCTGGACCCCTCCTGGGCGGCAAAACTCGACTTGATCCACGTCATCGTGTTGCAGACTGCCACGGACTGGCCGGCAGGGCGTGGCCTTATGCGGCGGTACTATGCTGACGCGAATTGGAACGCCATCAAGCCGGCTCCTTCGACCTATGAAGCGTACGAGTGAGTTCTCTTGCAGATGGTAGGTACTCTGCAGAAGGGAAGGTACAACCGCCAGGGCGTGACCTTCTGCGGCGGTACTACGCTGATGCGAATTGGAACGCCATCAAACCGGCTCCTTCAACTTATGAAGCATATGAGTAAGTTACTTGTCACATGTAGTTGGTCTTGTCAAAGCTGCTTGATTGACATGTGACCTTATGCGGCGGTAATACGCTGATGCGAATTGAAATGCAGCCAAACCGGCTCCTTCGACTTATGAAGCATACGAGTGAGTTTTCTTGTCACGTGTAGGTAATCTTGTCTTTGCTGGATGAATGAAATGTGACCTTACGCGGCGGTGCTATGCTGATAAGAACCGGAATGCAATCAAGCCAGCTCCTTAAAACCTATGAAGCGCACGCGTAAGTTATCTTGTCACAAGTAGCTAGTCTTTTCTTTGCTGGTTAATTGAACTGCTGTGATGTTACGTTGATGGTTGCTAGATTGCGATGAAACCAGATCCTGCAACATAGAGCTTACGCTGAGCTTTTTCTCCTCTATGCTTGCTAGTCTCTCTTATGATTGCTGGGTGAGGCATGATGTAACTCGCGAGATGGCGTGATGTTGTTAGCCTTCTCTCTCATTAACTGCTCGCCCCTCCTCTTTCGTCTCTCTCCTCTCTCCTTTATCCCTCTCCTCTCTCCCGTCACCCCCCTCTCCCCTTACAAAATCGGCATGCGGACCGTGTTCAATGCGTTCGCAGGCCGCAACAAGAGGACAAAGCCCTTCCCCGTGCTCTACTTCCTCTCATTGCTGCTCTCCCCTACTCCTCCCTCACCCTACTCCTGTCTCCGTCCACCCCCACCCCAGAATCGGCATGCGGACCGTGTTCAATGCGTTCGCAGGGCGCAACGAGAAGGAAAAGCCCTTCCCCGTGCCCTACTTCCTCTCATTGCTGCTCTCCACTCCTCGACTCTTCTCTCTCTTACTCCTGCCTCCATCCCCCCTTACCACAGGATCGGCATGAGAACAGTGTTCAACGCATTCGCAGGGCGCAACAAGAGGGGAAAGCCGTTCCCGGTCCCCTACTTCCTCTCATTGCTGCTCTCCACTCCTCGACTCTTCCCTCCCTTACTCCTGCCTCCATCCCCCTTACCACAGGATCGGCATGAGGACTGTGTTCAGTGCATTCGCAGGGCGCAACAAGAGGGGAAAGCCCTTCCCAGTGCCCTACTTCCTGTCAGCGCCTCCTCGGCTCAACGGCTGCCAAAACGTCTCTTCCCTCAGCTCGCCACAGCAGGTGCGTGTAGCTTTGATCAATTTAGGTACACCATCCAGTCTTAGCGGTCTTTGTGTAGGTTCCTCCCCATCCAGCCGGAGCTCTGTTGGTGTGACTTTTGAGAATTCTCACAAGTCTCCATCCAGCCAGAGCTCTCTCGGCCCCTCCTCGTCTCAACGGCTGTCAGAACGTCTCTTCCCTCAGCAGCCCACAGCAGGTACGTGTACCTTGGAAGGTGGGTCTATTACTTTTTACAGAAACCACATGATAGAAGTGGTGTTTTGAGACGTGTCCTCCCTCAGCTCTCCACAGCACGTGCGTGTAGCTCTAGCGCTGCTGGTAACAACATAAAGACACCTCAGTCTCTCTCAGAAACACCTCAAAGCAGGCCCTAAGGGATCACCGTGCTTGATCCCTAAACCAGGCTCTTTCTCTCGGCCCCTCCTCGCCTCAACGGCTGTCAGAACGGCACTTCCCTCAGCAGCCCACAGCAGGTGGGTGTGCAGCAGTGAAAGAAGTCTGGTTGGTGTATGTATCTGGCATGGCACCACCCACACTTCCTGCCCTACTTCCTCTCTGTCCCATCTCACCTCAACGGCTGTCAGAACGGCACTTCCCTCAGCAGCCCACAGCAGGTGGGTGTGCAGCAGTGAAAGAAGTCTGGTTGGTGTATGTATCTGGCATGGCACCACCCACACTTCCTGCCCTACTTCCTCTCTGTCCCATCTCGCCTCAACGGCTGTCAGAACGGCACTTCCCTCAGCAGCCCACAGCAGGTGGGTGTGCAGCATGGAAGGTGGGTTGTGCAGCAGTGACAGAAGCTGGGTTGTTGTATCTGGGTCCCACGGGTCAGTGCTTGTCATGAAGAAGAGCAGCAGTAGGAGCGGATGTCTTAGCAAAAGACGATAGTCTCGCTAGAGAATTCTCAAAAGTGAGTTAACCCTTTGAAGCTGGGTTGGTGTATCTGGCACCACCCACACTTCGTGCCCTACTTTCCTCTCAACCCCTCCTCGCCTCAACGGCTGCCAAAACGTCTGACAGAGACGGAGAGCTGGGGGAAGGGACGTTCTGGCAGCCACGTGTAGAGAGGGTATTTTTGAGACGTCTCAACAATACCCTCCTCACCTCATCGGCTGCCAAAGCGTCTGACAGAGACGGAGAGCTGGGGGAAGAGACGTTCTGACAGCCGTTGAGGCGAGGAGGGGCTGAGAGAGAGACCCATGCGTCAGAACGTCTCTGTTCTGACCCCGAACAGAGATGTTGCCTGCACCCACCCTCTCCCATATCCAGGCAACATCTCTGTTCGGGGTCAGAACAGAGAAAGACCCTGCCTTAGCACCCACCCTCTCCCATATCCAGGCAACATCTCTGTTCGGGGTCAGAACAGAGAAAGACCCTGCCTTAGCACCCACCCTCTCCCATATCCAGGCAACATCTCTGTTCGGGGTCAGAACAGAGAAAGACCCTGCCTTAGCACCCACCCTCTCCCATATCCAGGCAACATCTCTGTTCCTCCCCGTCCCCCTCGGTGACAACAATGCATCTCAAGACTTCCTCCCCATCCAGCAAAGATAATCCAAAACTGCCGCCTCGCCCCTTCCGATTCCTCCCCATCACCTACCTCTCTATGTTCCCTTCTCCCTTCCTTCCTCCCCCTCCATCTCACAACCAGGTAGCATCTCTCTTCTGTGACAACAAGGCAGCGCGTGGTTTCCTCCCCATCCAGCAGAGGGTCTTTGCCCCACGCACCTGCTGATACAGTAGTCTCACCTCATCCCCTCCTGCACCCATCCCATAACCAGGTAGCATCTCTCTTCCGTGACAACAAGGCATCGCGTGGTTTCCTCCCCATCCAGCAGAGGGTCTTCGCCCCACGCACCTGCTGATACAGTAGTCTCCCCTCATCCCCTCCTGCACCCATCCCATAACCAGGTAGCATCTCTCTTCCGTGACAACAAGGCATCGCGTGGTTTCCTCCCCATCCAGCAGAGGGTCTTCGCCCCACGCACCTGCTGATACAGTAGTCTCCCCTCATCCCCTCCTGCACCCATCCCATAACCAGGTAGCATCTCTCTTCTGTGACAACAAGGCATCGCGTGGTTTCCTCCCCATCCAGCAGAGGGTCTTCGCCCCACGCACCTGCTGATAAAGTAGTCTCCCTTCATCCCCTCCTGCACCCATCCCACAACCAGGTAGCATCTCTCTTCCGTGACAACAAGGCATCGCGTGGTTTCCTCCCCATCCAGCAGAGGGTCTTCGCCCCACGCACCTGCTGATACAGTAGTCTCCCCTCATCCCCTCCTGCACCCATCCCATAATCAGGTAGCATCTCTCTTCCATGACAACAAAGCATCGCGTGGTTTCCTCCCCATCCAGCAGAGGGTCTTCGCCCCACGCACCTGCTGATACAGTAATCTCCCCTCATCCCCTCCTGCACCCATCCCATAACCAGGTAGCATCTCTCTTCCGTGACAACAAGGCATCGCGTGGTTTCCTCCCCATCCAGCAGAGGGTCTTCGCCCCACGCACCTGCTGATACAGTAGTCTCCCCTCATCCCCTCCTGCACCCATCCCATAACCAGGTAGCATCTCTCTTCCGTGACAACAAGGCATCGCGTGGTTTCCTCCCCATCCAGCAGAGGGTCTTCGCCCCACGCACCTGCTGATACAGTAGCCTCCCCTCATCCCCTCCTGCACCCATCCCACAACCAGGTAGCATCTCTCTTCCGTGACAACAAGGCATCGCGTGGATTCCTCCCCATTCAGCAGAGGGTCTTCGCCCCTCTCCTCCCTCTCTCCTGCCTCCACCCCTCCCTCCCACAACCAGGTGACATCTCTGTTCCGAGACAACAAGGCATCTCGCGGTTTCCTCCCCATCGAACAGAGGGCCTTCTACAATTGATGCCAACCCATGAGCAAATATTTCCCCTCTTCCCCTTTCCCCCTATTACCAGGTAGCACCTCTCTTCGGTGACAACAAGGCGTCGCGTGGATTCCTCCCCATACAGCAGAAGATATATTTCAAACTGCTGCCCTCTCTGCTTCCTGCTCATTCAGTAGTCTTTGAGGTCGTTTTTGAGGCGCCTCAAAGGTCGTTTTTGAGGCGCCTAAAAAAAATATATATTTCAAACTGCTGCCCTCTCTGATTCCTGCTCATTCAGTAGTCTTTCTCCTCCCTCTCCTCCCTCTCCTCCCTTTCACACAAGCAGGTGACATCCCTTTTCAACGACAACAAGGCATCCAAGGGTTTCCTCCCCATCCAGCAGAAAGTCTTCCAAAACCGCCGCCCCTTCCGCTTCCTCCCCATCACCTACCTCTCGATGTTCCGAGGAGATGCGTTCATGTCGTCTAGTGGGGCGCACGATGGTGGGAGAGACTGCCTGCACTTCTGCTTACCCGGTGTGCCGGACACATGGGCCGATGCGCTCTACACCACCATGAAGAATGACCGGTTTATTGTGAATAATGCAGCTAAATAGAGGGTTTTGAGGGCTTTGACTGGCCTAGGCTGAAAGTGTCTAGATGGGCATATGATGGGGGGAGGCCACTGCCTGCATTGTTGCATACCTGGTGTGCCGGACACATGGACGGATGTACTTTTCTACCAGCATGAAGAGCGATAGGTTTCTTGTGAAGTATGCAGCTGAGTGAAGGGTGCTGAGGGCTTTGTTTGGGCTAGGCTGAAAGGGTCCAGTGGAGTGCATGACGGGGGGAGAGACTGCCTGCACTTCTTCTTAAACGGTGTGCCGGACACATGGACGAATGTGCTTTTCTACCTGTGATGAGTCGATTTTTGAGTTGACTCAAATACCGGGTGTGCCGGACACATGGACGGATGTGCTTTTGTACCAGCATGAAGAGCAATAGGTTTCTTGTGAAGTATGCAGCTGAGTAGCAGTGGTAGGGACTGATTGCAATGCTGCTTACCAGCTGTGCCGGATACGTGGGCCGACGAGACGCGACGATGCTGTCTACACCACCACGAGGAGTAAATAGCTTTGTTGTGAGCAATGCAGCTAAGTAGTGGCAGGAGTGCTCAACAATTGACTACACTTGTGCGGGTACGGGTGTACGGGGCTGGACACATATCGTACTGGTACGGTATGGTTGGTAAGCTGATGGTACTGCATCTACAGTGCCACAAAGAATGATAGGTTCATCATGTATATTCCATGCTTAAGAAATGAACTACCCGTATATATAAACTCGGTGTTGAATTCACTAAATAACAATTTACGAGGAATGGATTGGCAGGGTAGCACCAGCAGCGACACCAATTTAATATAATCATCACCACCACTGTCACCACCACTGCCACCACCCGTCCAGGGATTTCCCATCCATGATTCTCCACATACTCTCGGTGCAACCCCTCTCTCCTTGATGCGTTACCATGTTACTGCCCTCACCACCACCACCATCACCAGCATCACCACCACTGCCACCACCCATCCAGACTCTTCCCATCCATGATTCTCCTCATCTCCTCCACATACTCTCGCCGCAGCCCTGCTTTCCTCGCGCCTTTGAGCAACAACCCGCGGTAGCGAGCAGAGGGGGGCAGCTCCTTGCGAGGGGGGAGGAACGAGGGGCTCTTGGGGTTGGCGCGGAGGGTTAATGCCTGGTGCAAAGAGGGGTTTGGGGGGGTGGGGGGCGGTTGGGAGAGAGTAGGACACCTTGCTCCTTTGAGCTTCAACCTGCGGTAGCGAGCAGAGGGAGGCAGCTCCTTGCGAGGTGGGAGGAACGAAGGGCTGTTGGGATTGGCTCGGAGAGTTAGGGCCTGGGATAGCGGGGGCGAGGGGAGAGAGGGGGGTGGGTTTGAGAGAGTGGGGAAGGGGGGAAAGGATGCTCCTTTGAGTCGCTTTTGAGAATTCTCAGAAGGGCAGCTCCTTGCGAGAGGGGAGGAACGAGGGGCTGTTGGGATTGGCTCGGAGGGTTAGGGCCTGTTGTAGAGAGGGGAGAGGGATAAGAGGGGCGGATGGGGGGTAGAGAGGAGAAACGGCGGAGAGAGGGGGGAAGCTCCTTGCAAGAGGGGAGGAACGAGGGGCTGTTGGGATTGGCTCGGAGGGTTGAAGGCTGGTGTAAGAAAAGAGGAGGGGGAGGAAACGGGAGTTGGGTGTGAGAGTAGGCCCGAACCAGAAGAGGGAGGAAAAGTAAAGGCACTCCCGTTCTTAACTCCCATCCATTCTTCTCCTCATCTCCTCCTCCACATCCTCTCGCCGCAACCCCGCTCACTTTCCTCCTTCACCATGTTATTCCCTCCACCACCACCACAATCACCACCACTCTCCACCACCCATCCAGGGATTTCCCATCCACTCTTCTCCTCATCTCCTCTCCTCCACATCCTCTCGCCGCAACCCCGCTACGTTGAAATCACATTCGAGAATTCTCAAAAGCCATCTCCTCCACATCCTCTCGCCGCAACTTTTGGGACGTCTCAAAAGTCGCAACCCGGCTACGTTGAAATCACTTTTGAGAATTCCCATAAGTGATCTCCTCCACATCCTTTCACCACAAGCAACCCCGCTCGTTTTGAAGTAGTGTTTTGAGGCGTCTCAAAACACTTCAAAAAAGTGATCTCCTCGATATTCTCTCGCCGCAAGCAACCCCGCTCTCCTCGCTCCGGGTAGTTGGCAATCCATGCTAGTGAGGAGCGCTTGTGATTGGCACGGAGGTTTATGACCTGCAGTAGGAAGAGTATAGAGAAGGGGAATTTGGAGGAGAAAGAACGGCGGTGGGGAGGAGGGAAAAGCAGAACCTGGGGTAGGGGGAAGGACAGGAAAAGGAATCATTTAGCTACTTTCCTGGCCTAACATGTTTAAGATACACGGACAGAGAAACCAGCTGGTTCCTGGACAGAGAAACCAGCTGGTTCCTGGACAGAGAAACCAGCTGGTTCCTGGACAGAGAAACCAGCTGGTTCCTGGACAGAGAAACCAGCTTCTGGAACATGCAAGGAAGGAGAAGTGAAAACACGCTCACAGCATCAACGGGATTAGGCGCACTGTGCAAATACCTGTACAGTACTGCCGGAGTAGGTGTGTGCTGTAACGAGGTGCTCTATATAGGGTCGCTGCTCGTCGCGAGAGATGCCTTCTGACCTGACAGTAAGGGGGGAAGAGACAGGGAGCGAGGGACAAAAAAAGGTGAAAACAACTGTGTGTATGAGTGTGTGTGTGTGTGTGAGTGTGTGAGAGTGTGTGTGCGTGTGAGTGTGCATGTGTGAGAGTGTGTGTGTGCGTGTGTGTGTGTGTGCATGTGTGAGGGTGTGTGTGTGTGCGTGTGTGTGTGCGTGTGTGTGTGTGTGCGTGTGTGTGTGTGTGCATGTGTGAGTGTGTGTGTGTGTGTGTGCGTGTGTGTGTGTGCATCTGTGTGTGTGTGTGTGCGTGTGTGTGTGTGTCTTTGTGAGAGTGTGTGTGTGTGTGAAAGTCTGTCCGTGTGTACGTGCGTCTGTGGGTGCATGCACGTGCACGCTCTAAACAGTCTGAAAATACAAAAGCAAGTGTGTCCCCCCTCCAGATGATGGGGAAAGGGGACGAAAACGAACAGATACAGTGATGGAAATACACATAACCACATGCCAACTCACCGCATGCCAAATCACCACATGCCAAATCACCACATGCCAACTCACCACATGCCAACTCACCACACGCCAGCTCAGCACATGAGCAACAGAAGGAGAAGGGGAGGGAGACAAAGAGAAGAGGAAGCACGCAAACATCAACTCACCACATAAGCCGTTCGTAGTCGATTCGTCGCATCTGCACCACCAATCCATGCACACTCGGACTTCCGTCGCTTCCCTCCATCCCCGCTACAGCCGCCCCGTTTCGCGCTACAGCAGAACCGGCCTCAGCTACAGCCTCCCTGCTTTGCGCTACAGCCGATTCACGTCCCGCTAGAGCTGGTCTGATCCCCGCGGCTTTATCCCGCCTATTTCCCGCTACAGCCGACCTTATCCCTGCGACAGGCTCAATCGCCGCTACAGCCGGTTCAAATGGCGGCAGCACGCGGATGTTGAACGCCAGGCGATGATGGTACACCACCGCCGGCTCTGCTACAACCGGATCCTCCTCTGCTACAGCCGAACCCAGAACGTGTGCTACAGGCGCGTTGACTCCCGTTGACCGCCGCTGTAGCAGATCCAGGTTGAGATTTGATCCGAACGCGAAGTAGTTGACTGTAGCGAGGGGTGACAATAACGAAGAATCGGATAAGATCGAGGGCCGGTCGGATGTAGCGGGCGCTACAGTCGCCAGCCACGCGGTCAGAAGCAGCGAATCGGTAAGCTCTTTCGACCCGTTTCGCGGAAGCTTCCGACCCATGGTCCAATCGACCTCAGTAGTACTATTAGTACGACTACTAGCGGAAAGCTCTCGTTCTCCCCCGCCCCTTCCCCTTCCCCCTCCCCCGGTTCTTAGAGCCGCCGCTTTCGCCGCCTCCGCGCCTTTCTCCCCCCCGTCCGCGGAAACGGCTGCGCACCGCGAAGCGCTTCGCTGGGAATTTGCGGATCGTAGGCGCGTTTGCGGTGTTCGTGACCGAACGGGATTGGCTGTTTGCGGGCGGAATCCACGGAAAGGTGCGGACGCCGGTAATTGCGGCGGCCATGTTATCCGGAAAGCATATGGTTGGGAGGAACTGCAATGATTAGCTACTAACGGGGATGAGGTGGACGTGGTTGCATTTAGGACCACCATGATCGAGCGGCGAACCGAATCAGCAGCAGGAAGAATCAAGGATAAATGTATGAGGATTTTGAAAACATTTCGATCCGATATGAAAGGTATACTCACTTTCCAAGTGAATGTTACATATTTTGACTGTATCGAAGAACGAGTACATCTGGCCGTGCCTAGGGATCTGGTTCTGCTAGTGGTGATTGGGTATGCGAGGCTGAGAGGTAAAGCGGACATTGGTACGGGAGGTGGTGACAGGTCAGGTCAGAGAGGCTGTAAGGAATTTTCTCGGCATTCCTTACGGAGCCCGACTACATCGCGTACAGCAACAGCCGTTGTTCGCCCGTTACAGCTAACGGGGCTTCGCCGACTTCGCGCACACTGTTTTCACCAAACCTCGCACTGCTGGCATGGCCGTGTCGGCCTACGCTTCGGGACTAGCCCGAGCCTCGCTCCAGCGTAGCACTAGCTAGCTCGCACGCACCGCGTTACCGTTTGCATGTTTCGCGTACAAATGTTCGCTCATGCATTCGCTCACATTGTGTACTCGTTTGACACCTTAGTGCAATTCTCGCTACTTCGATTCATTGCACCCGTAACACTTGGTATTCAGAGCCCCTTTCTTTCGGACCGCGCATCTCCGCACCTCAGGAAATCAACTTTTGATTTCTCACTCGAAGGGACTCACGTACCTTAGCACCTACGAGCCGCTGTCCTCGCGTTCTCTCGTAAACGCGTGCAGCCACGACTGCGCCTAGACTAAGACGAGCCGACGCCCTTCGAAATGGCTGAACACATCGACGTTACGAATCTCACGCAGGAGCACTTGAACGATCTGCTGCGACAAATCCGCGAGAGCGCCGAGGAAATTGCGACGCTGACGGCAGAACGCTCGGCCCCGCAAAACGACCTCACACGAGCACAATCCCAAGCACCTGGCACTCTGATTCAGCCCGCACCACAGACATCACAGCACGGAAGTGTGGGGCAACCCGCGAGCGCCGCAGGTGATGGCGTCGTCCGCCATGACGGAGACGACGACCACGGCACGACACACCCCGACACGACGAATGCGGCCAGGACCCAACCTCGAGTCACGATTCCAGTGCCGGCCGGCGAATCAACTCTTCCGTCGCCGATGCCGCTAAAGCCGCAGCGTCCGCCATACTTTGACCCAAGTCAACGGGGTGGTCCTACCGTTCAGGTGTGGCTCTTCACGTTGAACGTCTTCTTCGATGCGAACTACGTTTCGGAGGATACGGCAAAAATTCGCTACGCCGTGTCGTTGCTGCGAGGACCCGCCATGGACTGGTGGCGCGTCATCGTCACGAAGCCGGTGGACTACGCGACTCTACCGACACGGGAAGGACAAACAGGAGCCTGGGCGTCGTCGTACTTCGTGGAGGTGCCCCAGTATCGCACGTGGGACGCGTGGTGCGCAGGTCTACGCACTCGTTTCGAGCCAAACGCGACTTCGATCGCGGCGCGGCAAAAGCTCCGCACTTGGCGCCAACTCGGTTCCGTACAAGACTACACGAGCGGATTTCTGGCGCTATGCGAGCAGGTGGGATATATGCACGAGAGCGAGCACATCGACTGCTACATCGGCGGCCTGAAGCAGGACATCGCTCAGGAAATCCAGCTTCGCGGCGTCACCGACTTTCAAGAAATTCTCGCTATGGCGGAGAAACTCGATTTCTTCCGCCGACCGAGACCGGGGTCCTATGGAAGCAGCCATTGGGGACATCAGCCTCGTGGGACGAACGAGGGCGCCACGATACGTGCCGTCGCCGCAAATGCCGCTGCCGCACCGTTCAAAGGGCGTTGCTTTGCGTGCAATCGGCCGGGACATCGCAAGAGCGAATGCCCGGAAAACGCTAAGGGAAAGGGGGAAGCTGAGCAGCAGAAACAGACCAAGCAGCAGGGAAACGCTGGGAGTCAGTAGCAGACGGGCCCTCTACTGACAGGTCACGCCGCTCGCCCGACCCAACCGACCCTCACCGAGTGATTGTGCCGGTTCACGCAATCGACCACACTCGGCCGAATAAGGAGGGGACTACGATAGACATCCCCATACTACTTAGTGGGAAAATTGGGACGGACTTAGTTAAAATCTTCGTAGACGGGGGAGCCTGCCACAGCCTCATCAACACCGCTACAGCACGAAAACTGCGACTGCCACTGGACAAATGTTTACCTGAGATCAACGCACGACTGGTAGACGGCACGCCGCTGGCGATACGGGAACGTGTAGACCGGGTTCGGATTCGATGTGGGGGTAACTTCACGTTTAGCCAGGAAATGCTCGCAACGACCCTCGACGGAACCGATATTTTACTCGGGCGTGATTGGTTGCGACGACACAACCCGCGAATCGACTGGACGACGGGTGACTGCACCGTGCGAGTGAACGGTAACAACATCGCCTTACCTCGCTGGGGCTCACCTGAGTCTTCGTCGGTGCGTGTCAACGCGATCACGATGAAACGTGCCGTAGCGGTAGGAGCTGACGTGTACGCAGTCGACATTCGGGAAGCCGAGGCAGCAGACAAAGGAGGGAATTTACAGAAACTGCTGACCGACGTACCGAGTGACCTGGCAGCACTGTTGAAGTTGTACAGCGACATTTTCCCAGACGATTTTCCAACGGGACTGCCACCTCAGCGACCGCATGACCACAGGATAGAGTTAGAACCGGGGGCACAGCCAACAGTACAGCAACAGTTCCGACTGACCCAGCCCGAACTGGACGAACTAAGGAAGCAGCTCGATTACCTGCTCGAGAAGGAATTCATTCGCCCTTGTTCGTCGCCCTTCTCAGCACCGATACTGTTCACACCGAAAAATGACAGGGGATTTCGCATGTGCATAGATTACAGAGCACTGAACAGAGTTACCATCAAATCCCGTTACCCCATCCCGCGAGTCGACGAACTGATCGACCAACTGCGCACAACCCAGGTTTTCTCCAAAATCGACCTCCGAGGGGGTTGTGAAAGTTTAGATTAGAGAAGAGGATTGCACTAACAAGAATGGGGATACAAATAGCAAACCCTAGAAGGGTTGTACTCGCTATAGAGCACCCCACTACAGGCTAGAGCATAAGATAACATTCTGACACACCCCCATAGCCAAAGTGGGGTGTAATCATTAGAGCAAGCAGAGCAATACAAGCTCAGGGTGGATCACAATGTCACCACACATTCTGAGCACAAGTTCAAGAGGCAATAGTTTAAAGTTCACAATTACGAGCAAAGCTAGTGGTAGTCACAACGGGCAAGTGAGGAGGAGGAGAGAGAGTGAGAGGAGAGGAGATAGGAGGCGACGGCTGAAGCTGCAGACACACGGGAAACAGGAGGCAGACTGGCACAGCGGCTACCGGGCGAAGCCCCCGGAATACTGGAGTAACTGGCCTCGCGGCTAAAGTAGCGGCAGACGAGCAACGGACCCTCGGGCGGCTGGCACAACTGGCTACGACTGGGCTACCTAGCGAAGTCCCCGGAATACAGGTGCTGCTGGCGACACGACGGCAACCTCCATGCAGCTTCCCCAGACTATCCCACTCCCCCTGGCACACACCCGCTGCTACACCGCTAGCTCCACTCCCACGCACCCCCCTTAAACCCTAAACCCCAGTCTCCCACTCATCCACCCTCCTCAGCGACAGCTGCAGCAGTGGGAGACGAAGGAGGAGGAGGAGCAAAGGGAGGAATGCACAACTGCCACCCCCATACTCGCCACCCCCAAACCCTAACACCGGCAGGGCGGGATGGCGGGTAGGGAGGGTACGGGGGGAGGGGGGGGGGGGGGGGGGGGGGGACCGACACGCGGCCTCCCAGGGCGCCAAAACAGGTGGCAGAAGGGGCGGCGCTCGCCCCCCTCCCCCAGGTAGTCCCTCGGTGCGCCGGGAAAAGGGGGGGGGGGGGGAGGGCCGGTGCACGTGCCCTCGGTGCGCCACGACGGGTGACACAGCATGGCCGGGGCGAGGCCGGTCCTGGCACAGCCCGTACGGGCCGCGCGCTGCCTGTACGGGCGGCGCGCAGGCCACGACGGGCGACGGGGGGGGCGACGCGCGGGTCTTTGTCACCCGTCACAACGCCTCCCGAGGGCGACGCGCCGAGGGACGGGGCAGAAGCCCGCCGCGCGCCTCGGGACGCACGGCGGGCAGAAAACCGCCGCGCGCCTCGGGGCGCACGGCGGGCAGAAAATCGCCGCGCGCCGCGGGGCGCACGGCGGGAAGAAAAACTGCCGCACACCACAGGGCGTGCGGCACGGAGAGTAGCAGTAGTAGTTGCAGCGGAAGCAACGAGGTGGTAAGCCCACCCACAGGATCGATCCAAGGGGATCGACCTGCTCTGAAGAGAGAAGAGGATTGCACTAGCAAGAATGGGGATACAAATAGCAAACCCTAGAAGGGTTGTACTCGCTATAGAGCACCCCACTACAGGCTAGAGCATAAGATAACATTATGACAGGGGTTACCACCAGATCCGTGTCAACCCGCCCGACTGCCCTAAGACCGCATTTCGCACACGATACGGATCCTTCGAATACACCGTCATGCCTTTCGGACTGACCAACGCCCCCGCCACTTTTCAAATGACCATGAAAGAGGCTTTCCGCCCGCTCTTAGATAAGTGCGTCATAGTATACCTGGACGACATCCTGATTTATAGCCCTGACAGAGCACAGCACTTACAGGACATCGACGCATTCTTTAAAATCCTGAGTGAGAACCGCCTACTGACCAAAGCGTCTAAGTGTGAGTTTTTACAGGACCGCCTGGAATTTTTGGGACACGTTATTTCAGCTGTAGGAGTGGAAATAGACCCGAAGAAAATTGCAACGATTCAAGCATGGCACGCGCCGACCAACTTGACCGACTTGCAGACTTTTTTGGGGTTCGTCAACTACGTGCGCCGGTTCGTCCCCGACATGGCGAAGCTGACTGCCCCGTAGACTGACCTGCTGAGAAAGGGGGTTGAGTACACGTAGGGGGAGAAAGAGCAAGCTGCCTTCTCGTCCCTCAAAAACATTTTGTGCTCACCGCCCGTGCTTCACATCGCAGATCCACACCGTCCGTTCGAGCTCGTCACTGACGCAAGTGACATCGCTGTGGGAGCAGTGTTGTTGCAGGATTTTGGGAACGGCCTCCAGCCAATCGCGTACGAGTCCCGCAAGCTGCATCCGCCCGAACGCAATTACCCGATACACGACCGCGAAATGTTGGCGATCGTGCACGCGTTCAAGGTTTGGTGGTGTTACCTGACTGGCGCCGACGTGACAGGACGGACAGACCACCGATCACTACAGTACTTACGCGCCCAACCGAATCTCAACCCACGACAGATTCGCCGGTTGGACTACCTCGAGTCCAACTTCCACTACACGGTTACGTACAAGAAAGGCGCATCCAACATCACCGACACACTCACCCGCCCTACTGCCCAGCTCGACACCATCCTACTCGCCCAGACCAACCCACTTTTAACAGACCTATTCAACGACGGATACCGCACCAACCCATTCTTCACGACCGGAAATTCACAGCAACTGGCAGAACCTAAAGGAGTTTATTACGTAAAAACAGGCACCAACCGCATCTGGGTACCCGCGTACTCACTACTGAGGGAGCTGCTACTGCAAGAGGCACACGACGGAATTACCTCGGGACATTTTGGGGTAGAAAAAACGCGACAGCAACTGCAGCGGTATTACTACTGGCCAGAGCTGTTGAGCGACGTACAGCAGCACGTGGGCTCGTGCCCCGCGTGTCAGGTGATGAATGTGAAAGTTTAGAAGAAAGTAGAGGGTTGGCACTAGCAAGAATGAGGATACAAATAGCAAACCCTAGAAGGGTTGTACTCGCTATAAAGCACCCCACTACAGGCTAGAGCATAATATTCTGACACACCCCCATAGCCAAAGTGGGGTGTAATCAGCAGAGCAAGCAAAGCAGTACAAGCTCAGGGTGGATCACAATGTCACCACACATTCTGAGCACAAGTTGAAGAAGGAATAGTTTAAAGTTCACAATTATGAGCAAAGATAGAGGCTATCGCAGAGGGCTAGTGTGGAAGAGGGACTATGAGAGGAGAGGAGGGAGTGGGCGGCAACTGAAGCTGTTGGCACACAGCGCAACTGGAGCAACTGGCACACGGGCAACTGGAGCAACTGGCACACTAGCAACTGGAGCAACTGGAGCAACTGGCACACGAGCTACTGGAGTAACTGGCTCCGCGGCAAACAGTAGCGGCAAACGAGCAACGGACTCACGGGCGACTGGAGCAACGGGCTCACGGGCGACTGGCGCAACGGGCTCACGGGCGACTGGTGCAACGGTCTCACGGGCGACTTGAGCTGCTGGCTTCTCGGCGGCCACCCCCTTCAACCTCCCCAAACTATCCCACCCCCATTTCACACACCCCCTACTGCACCCCTAGGGTCACTCACACCCCACCCCCTAGCACCACTCCGTCGACTCCCACACACCCACCCCCCTCAGCGGCAGCTGCAGCAGTGGGAGACAGAGGAGGACAAGCAGGGGAGACCACACACCCGCCACCCCCCAGCGGCCCCCGAAGGAGCCGCGACGGGCGACGGGAAAAGGGGGGGCGGAGGGAAGGAGGCTGTGCCGTAGGTAGGGCGACAGGGCCGAGCCGTAGGTAGGGCGACGGGGCTGTTACGCAGGTAGGGCGACGGGGCCGGGGCGCAGGTAGGGCGACGGGGCCAGGGCAGAGGCGCAGGTAGGGCGACGGGGCCGGAGCACAGGTAGGGCGACGGGGGTCGAGGCGCAGGTAGGGCAACGGGGCCGGGGCCGCAGGTAGGGCGACGGGGCCGCAGGTAGGGCGGCAGGACGACGGGGCCGCTGGCGGCTGTTCGGGGCCGATAGGAGCGGCGACGGGGGGCGACGCGCGGGCCCCCCGTCGCCCGTCGCAGCGCCTCCCGGGGGCGACGCGCCGAGTGACGGGGCAGAAACCCGTCGCGCGCCTCGGGGCGCACAACGGGCAGAAAACCGCCGCGCGCCTCGGGGCGCACGGCGGGCAGAAAACCACCGTGCGCCTCGGGGCGCACGGCGGGAAGAAAAAACTGCCGCACGCCACTGGGCATGCGGCACATAGAGTAGCAGTAGCAGTTGCAGCGGAAGCAATGAGGTGGTGAGCCCACCCTCAGGATCGATCCAAGGGGATCGACCTGCTCTGATAGCATGTGAAAATTTAGAAGAAAGGAGAGGGGTTTGCACTAGCAAGAATGAGGTTACAAATAGCAAACCCTAGAAGGGTAATACTCGCTATAGAGCACCCCACTACAGACTAGAGCATAATATTCTGACAATGAAGAGCTCAAGGAAGCGGAGGGCGGGTCAATTGAAGCCGATACCACCGCCCGAGCGCGCCTGGCAGCAGGTTACCATGGACCTCGTCACAGGGTTACCTTCGAACCCTGGGGGTAACGACGCGGTGATGGTCGTCGTTGACAGATTGACGAAGATGGCACACTTCGCTGCGTGCAAAATGTTGATCTCAGCCGAGGAGACCGCTCATCTGTTCATCGTGGCCGTTGTTCGCCTGCACGGGATACCAGCAGCAATTATCAGCGACAGGGACACGAAGTTCACCAGCAACTTCTAGAAGAACCTCTAGGAGCATTTTGGAACCAGGCTACAGTTCAGTTCGTCGTACCACCTCGAGACCGACGGTCAAACGGAGCGGACGAATCAGACGATGGAGTAGTTGATTCGTGCCACGTGCGACGACCCCACGACTTGGGAGTAGCAGCTGCCGCTGATCGAGTTCGCGTACAATAATGCCACGTCAGCGACGACGCATCAGTCCCCCTTCTACTTGAACTACGGGTAAAATCCTACTGTGCCCATGACGCCGAGTCCAGACAACCCAACGCCACGAGCACAGCAATTCGCCGAAATTCTGCAAGCTGCCCGCACCAGAGCCGCAGACGCAATTAAAAAAGCAAACACCATCGCTAAGCGCAACGCTGACCGCCACCGCCACCCAGTCATATACCAGTTAGGGGATTACGTACTGCTCTGTCAGAACATTATAGCTTACTTATTTGTGTAGGCTATAGTGGGATATCCCATAGGGGGTACAACCCAATTAGGGTTTCCTATATGTACTCACTTCATTCATAGTCATTTCATCCTCGTTCTCTATCTCACATGGTATCAGAGCAGGTCCCCTCCTAGGGACTGTTCCTAGGGCCCACCGAAGCGCGCCTCGAGTCGCGCTCTCTTTTTTTTTTAGCGACCCGTCGTGTCGCACCCCCCCCCCCCTAGCGGCCCGTCGCGCCGCCCTTTCGGTCGCGCCGAGCTACCTTAGCGGCGATGGCGCGCCGCCCTTGCAGCGGCCTGTCGCGCCGCCCTACCTTGCGGCCCCACCGCCCTACTCCTGCGGCCCCGCCGCCCTACGTCGCGGCCTCGCCGCCCTACCTTTCGACGGCCCCGCCGCCCTACGTCGCGGCCTCGCCGCCCTACCTTTCGACGGCCCCGCCGCCCTACGTCGCGGCCCAGCCGCTCTACTTCGACGGCCCCGCCGCCCTACACCGACAGCTCCACCGCCCTACTTACGCGGCCCCGCCGCCTTACTCCTGCGGCCTCGCCGCCCTACGTCGCGGCCCCGCCGCCCTACCCTTCGACGGCCCCGCCGCCCTACATCGCGGACCCGCCGCCCTACACCGACGGCCCCCGCCGCCCTACGTCGCAGCCCCGCCACCCTACACCGACGGCCCCGCCGCCCTACTGACGCGGCCTCGCGCCCTACTCCTGCGGCCCCGCCGCCCTACTTCGCGGCCCCGCCGCCCTACCTTTCGACGGCCCCGCCGCCCTACTCCTGCGGCCCGCCAGCCGCCCTACCTGCTGCCCTCCCGCAGCTCTACCTGCGGCCCACCCGCCGCCCTACCCACGACCGCCGCGCCGCCCTGAACCAGCGCCACCGAGCCGCCCGACCGCCGGGTCGCCCAGCAGCCGAGCCGCCTAGCCGCCCCGCAGCCGAGCCGCTGAGCCGCCGAGCCGCCCAACAACCGAGCCGCCGAGCCACCCAGCAGCCGAAGCAGCCGAGCCGCCGAGCCGCCGAGCAGCCGAGCCGCCCAGCAGCTGAGCCGCCCAGCAGCCGAGCCGCCCAGCAGCCGAGCCGTCGGCTGCTGAGCTGCCCTACTTCCAGACCGCCCGACCTGCCCAGTCTGGTGAGCACAGAGCCTTTATCACTGCACTGCCCTCACCCAACTGTTTGCACTGCAAGAGTCTGTCGTCATGGCTACCCCTAGTGTCCTCGCTTTCGACGCTGAGGGTCGCGCCATTGACTTTGAGGTCTGGGTCGACGACCTGTAGCTGTTCTTACAGTGCGATAGGGCAGACGGTCTTTCCCTCTTTGACCTCACCTCTGGCGCCTCTCCTGCCCCTGCTGCTGATGCTGACCCTACTGTTCGCTCCCAGTGGGCCACGCGCGATGCTGCTGCACGTCTTGCTGTGCGTCGCCACCTCCCTACCTCTGAGCGTGCGCACTTTAGTCAGTACAAGAGTGCTCAGACCTTGTACGACGCTATAGTTGCACGCTACTCCTCCCCTGCCACTGCTGCACTAAGCCGCCTCATGCTACCCTTCCTCTTCCTTGACCTTGCCGCCTTTCCCACTGTCGCTGATCTCATTACGCACCTCCGCACTAGTGACACCCGCTACCGCGCTGCGCTTCCTGCTGACTTCTGCGCCAAGAACCCCCCCCCCATGTACATCACTCTCTACTTTCTAGTCACCAGCCTCCCTGACTCCCTTCGTGTAGTCCGGGACCACTTTCTCGCGGTCTGTCCCACCACTCTCACAGTCGACAGCCTAGAGAAGGCTCTCCTAGCGGCGGAGAAGAGCATCGTCGCTGTAGGAGCTTCTCAAGGTGACCCCCGCGCCCCCATCTTTGAGGGGTGTTCTCCTTCCCCTCTCTTGCCCTCTGTCGCCTCTGCCGCTGCGGCCGACCTCGTTGGTCTTGAGTCGGTCAGTGCGGCGTCTGCCCCTAGCGGGAGACGCCGCCCTGGCAAGGGCAAGGGGGGCAAGGGAGCGGGTGGGGCTAGCGGGGGCGGTGGCGGTGGAGGTGGAGGCGGCGGAGGGAGTGGGAGTGGCGGTGGAGGAGGTGGCGGGGGTGCGGGTGCTAGTGGTAGCAATGGAGGCGGAGGCGGCGTCGGTGGCGGCGGTACTGGCGGAGGTGGCGGCGGTGGCGGAGGTGGAGGAGGTGGAGGTGGAGGTGGTGGAGGTGGTCGGAAGTGGCACTTCACAGCGGAGCGGCACTGGGGGTGGTCAGCGCCAGCAGCACCAGCAGCGTTCTCGCGACGTCCCCACCCCTCAGCAGCTCCGTGAGTGGTACACGCAGCGTCAGCGTGGTGGGGGACTTGGTCCCTGCACCTACGTCCTTCGCACCAGCGACCGCGGCGGGTGAGCAGTGTAGGGGTGCCAACCCCACCCAGCGCTGTTTTGGCTGCCTGACGGACGCTTGGTCGTCAGCAGTTTCCGGAGGCCACCGAGATCCCCCGCTGGGGAGAGCTGTCTAGGGCTGGCGTAGCTATCTTTGATCTTGACTTTGATGCTATCCTTGCAGCCATGTATGCTGTGACTATTAGTGATGAGGGTGACTGTTAGAGATGTTTTCCGCCCGACCCGGGCATTGAGACTGTTGCTCTAGGTACTGGTGAGGCTGCTGCCCTAGGTGCTTGCGACGCTGCTGCTCTAGGTGCTGGTGTGTCTGCGTCCTCAGGTACTGGTGAGTCTGCGCTCTCAGGTACTACGTCGGCTTCGGCCTCCCACACCTTCACCCTTGACTCTGGGGCGTCTCGCTCCTTCTTTCGGGATTGCACCACACTCAACGCCGCTTAGTCGGCCGGTTGCGGTTTCCCTGGCTGACCCCTCCGGGGGTCCTGTCCTGTCTCGCTTCTCCACTGTCCTCCCGTGTCCGGCGGCTCCCTCTGGCACCCTGTCTGGTCTCTACCTCCCCTCGTTCTCTACGAACTTGGTGAGTGGTGCTGACCTACAGGATGCGGGAGTCCACCAGTTCACCCCTGCTCGTCAGCGGGTGACGCACTGCACAGAGGCTAGCACAGGT